TGCAGCCTATGTAACTATGTATATTGCTTAATATTAAATTCAATTTGTCAATTGCAATCTAAAAAGTGTAATCTAAAACGATGGCACATTAGTTGTCTGAAAAGTACAGAAGGCATCTCTCTTACACATAGCTAAATAATCAGTGGCCATAGTGTTTTGTGCTACCCCTTTCTGACCCATTTCATTTAACATACATTATATGGTATAGGGGAAATAGCTTCATGTCCAATCAATTTGCCTGCCTATTATGATAAACCAGTTATGTTTTGGCTGCTAGTAATGGTGTATCTTTAAAGATAGGTACTCATGTCTTCACAAAGTCGCACTGACCCTATAATCCCTGTATATCATAATTGGTTTGGCCATCCCTCTCAAGTTATGGTAGAACCTCTCCTTAGTGAAGCCTTTACTCATTCTCTATCGCTGAGCCTCTACACCCTCTTCACACTGGCCGACGGCAGTCTGATAGAGCAGCACTTGTATCCACTTCAGCACTCAATATGCTACTAATGAGGACATTTAATACATCTTTTGTGTGGCCAGCAGAGCAGAAAGAGAATGAGGAATGGGGCTGTTACACAAGCATCTTTCTCATCTCTCTTCTCACTCTCTGCTCATGTTCACTACCATCTCTTAACCGTACTATGTATCTCCCCCCTTCTGCAGACCAGACTTAGCATTTTGTCTGTACTTACAAACACTGGTGAACCTTTCAGTTTCTACTTAACACCGATTCTTGTTTCTCTTTCAAAGGACTCCAAGAACAGGATTTCCTTGCAAAAGCAGAATTTTGCCAGTTTCTGCCTGTGCTTTACACACATTGACTTGCTCTTGCTCGCTGTTCTTATCAATTTCCGGTTTTATTTTTCTAAGTTTGCTTTTTGTAACATCACATTCCTTTCCCTAATTGACCTCAGGGTTATCTATTTATGTGTTTTCTAGTTTTTGTAATATTGCAATCCTAATAAGCCTCAGAAGGTGAAAGAGGATAGGAAATACAGTTTATAAATATCTGGAAGTTGACAAATTGGACAGTGTGCGCTTACTTCCATTCGTTTCTATGCACAGTGAAGCCACACAGTTTTTATTTTGCAATCACACCCATGGGTCCAATTTCCATTTCATGTTTGTATTAAAGTGCACTGTTCTTCCTAAAATTGATGGTTTGAATGGTGACAAACTGTGGTGAACCAACGTGGAGACAACCCTGGTGCAAGAAATGTTTTGCCCTCCATCAAAAGGCTGGGCAAATTGTAAATACCCATCTGTTGTACAAGTCCTACAACCCTATACAAGCTGTGAATCTACCATTGGCCCATCCTTGCAGGGTTGTATATAGCACTGAGCAGTGTTTGTGTGTGGTTTATGTGTGTGAATGAAGGGGTGTGTCTGTGTGTAGTGTTTTATGTACTGTTAACATTTAAAAGCAGTGGTGTATTTGTGTGTAGTGTTTGCTTTGAATGCAGGGGTGTGTTTACATATAATGTTGGTGTTTTAATACTGAGGTGTGTTTGTTTGCAGTGTTGACGTTTGAATGCAGGGGTGTATTTGCGTGCAGTGTTGGTGTTTGAATGATGAGATGTATGCACATATACACATACACTGCCACACACAGAAACAATGATACACATATGCATATACACACACTGACACACATGCAGATACAGACACACACATACACACACTTGCAGATACACATATACAAACACTGGCACACATTTATGCTGGTCATCCTTTTAGCCACCCTCAAGTTTTCTACCTTTTGAGTACAGGAGGGTTGATTCTGCTGATGGGAGTCAGAGGCTGTCTCTCACTTTTCGCTCCCTCATCTTCTGCACCTCATCCTCTCCCTTTTGTGCACCTCTGTTATGTGGGAGGAAGTAACCGTCTCTCACTTTGCCCCAGGCTGCCGACATGAGAGGGGATGGTCACACTGCTAGAGGGCCACAGCGCTCAACCGGGCCCCAGAGGACACATGCCCATCGGGTGTCCATAGGTGCATGTGCCATCCATGCAGCACACTGGCCGTTGTTCTGCCGCTGGTGACAAATAATTACAAAATCAATGAAAAGTATAAAAAGGTAGTAATGAATAGTCTAGTTACCAGAGGCCAGTGAGTCTAACAATAGTGATGGAGAACATATGAAAAGAAAATGATCTAAAGCCCAAATGGTGTGTAAACAACAAAATCAGTATGTCTTTATTAAAGGGATATAATGCCAATATATTCAATTAGTTGGATAAATGAAGTGAATGGTCAAGGTAGATATATTCATTTATATAGATATATAAAGAGATAAATCAGTGCTTAGTAGGAAAGGTAACAAGAGTAGTATAAATTATAGCAGTCACTAAGAGCTTGTTCCTAAATTATAACTGCTGTAATCCAAAAGTATATTATTTATGGCTTTCTAGATTGCCATTCTTCTCTATACAACTTCCTTTCCAGCCTACATATACTTGAGACCAATTAAGTAATTTTGATTTCACTAGTAATAAAACGAATACGGTTAAACCTCTTTGGCATGCTACAACGATACAGGAAGAAATCCCACAAGATTATCTCCATTATCTATGTAGTACATTGATACAACAAGCAATAATCACAATATTTTCTGAAACTAGATTTAAATCATGCTCTAAAGATTTAATTATTGTATACAATTATCAATAGCCAGTTTTACTACTACTAAGACAAGAAAATCTACCATATGCGTTTTGTTGCTCAAGGGCTACTTCATTAGAGGATAACATGCAAATTAAATGACTGATGATTTTGAAAAATTACAAAAAAGTTATGAACAAGGGCACAGTATATTAATAAATGCTAAATAATGCATTTGGGTCACAACATTCCAAAGGCATGGTACAGAATGAACAGTAATTATTCAAACGGAATGAAAGATTGGCAAGCAACTAACACAATACTATGACTTGCATCTGAAGTGGCATTGGTACCTGAAGCCAGGTAAAATGGATTCCGATCACCTGACAGTCGATGGTTCATGATCTGTATTTAGCTTGTAAACTAGAGATAGTTTGGAATGGTTCACTGAACACTGTGCAGTCCAAATAAAATGTACAATGTAATTAAATGGTCACATTAAAGTCTGAATATATAAAATAATTTCTAACAGTAACTGATTTTTATTTGTTTTTTTTTTATAGAAAAACGAAAAAATATAAGCATCAAAGGCTCACCGATATAGAATTGCAATATAACAACGAGGAAGATATAGTCAGATACATGGTGTTACCACTTTCAGAAGGCACATTCTTAAAGAAGACCAAGTCTGAGAATTGAAAGGAACACTGCAAGGTTTAAATCACTTACATTTACAAAATGTGTGCTGCAGTCTGCCTGTCCTGATTGTGAAAGTAACTAAAACAAGTTACAGTTCCAACAGAACTTAATTTGTCTGTCTGGAACCCAATAGTAGTATACACAACCTAACCACTACATACAAATGTAGTGATTGTGATGCCATCAGAAGGTAGATGCTATATCCTTGTGCTTAGTCAAACCATTTAATTGTGGAGCCCCAAAGGAACTCGCAGTCTGGCCCCCACTCATTGGAATTGTTAACAAAGAAATTGCAATGGCTAATTCGAAATAACAACACACATTTCTATATTTTAATAAAATATTTTCATTGGCTGAACAGGTCGGCTGATATGCTGAAAGTGCCCATGAATGGCTTTAAAATATGGATTTATTTTGACATTTTTAATTTAGACTTGTAAATAGTGTAGGACGCTCAAATTAACCACACCACAACATCAATATAATAACAAACACCTCAGCACACAGCAGCAGGGTAAAACGGTGGATAATTTAGCTATCAGTAAACTGGCAACGTTTCGACAGGCTGAGTGTCTTTCTCAAGCTATTCTGTATTTGCAGTTCAGGCATGCGGGTACCTGGCTGCAGGTTCATGAGCGACCGACATTTACTCAAACCTCTCAAAACCACTTTTACCAAGAAGAGTGGGATGGAGTAGCCTACATGACAAGTCCACTTTTATGCTAAACCAAGCTGCCTGCCCTGTTGCCTGTACTTGACCTTGACTACCCTTCTAACCATACCTCCAGTGAAAGAGTCTGACCCTAAGACAGGTTTGGACCTGTATCCTACACCGCAGAAGTTTATTCACTAAACTGTGAATTGTGGATGCATATTTTATGCCACAATAGCCAGATTTAGAAAGTATACCAACTCAGCTATTCAAGATTAAAATTAGCAATTCTCTGTTCAATTCTCCACAATTCCATGTTGACTAAATGCATTCTCACCATATATGGTCGGTATATAAATGTCACACCTACCAACCACTTAGAGCAGAACTGTAATTTATGTAAAAGCGCCTCCTTCCCCTGGCTCAGTGCAAATTATTTACCTTGTTGCTGGGATGGGTAATGCAGTGAAAGTAAAATAAATTAAATTTTTTTTTTTTAAATGCACTTACCTCTGCTCTATTCATGTTGAAGGCAACATCATCACCCAATGACCCAGACATGCTCAGTTGTGCTCAGGCACCTTCGCTTATGACACTACAGAGGTAAACTAATTCACATCGCAAGCTGTTTGATTGCCAGAATATCCAGTTGTGTATCCAATTCACTGTATTTTTAAGCAATTTTTCTATATAATTTTTTTGTCTAAAGAATCGTTTCCAAGGCAATCATTTTTTGGTTTGATACAACTTAACCATGAGTATATGTTAACTTGTAATTGTATTAAGTTTAGTATTTGCTTTTGTTAGTTTTTGCCATGTGACACATTAGAAAAACATAGCCGTAACGTAGTTAGCCATTACGTAATACAAACAAACAAACACAACAAAATAAACACAAAAATAAAGTGACACTTGGAAGTTTCAAGTCTAAAATAACAGTAAAGTCTCTATTTTTTGCAGTTCTGCTTGCTGACATTGTAACTTATCTTCTGTGCCACATCATTAATATCATTTGGTCTGATCCCCAACACCAAGGATTTCCTTGTTTTATATAATGACATGAAAACACAGACTTTTTGATGAAGAGAGTATTTACAATGCACATACTCTTATCTAAAATTACATCCTCTCAGTGTTTAATATATGACTTTCCTGTATATATTGTACCTTATTACATTTGAATTGATCATTCTGTGTGTATATATTAGGTCATTGTGTTTACAATGCGTATCCTATAGACTGCACTTACCCATACTTAAAACAATACATATGGAGGAGATTGCAGGCTCCCTAAAACCTTATGTAACAGCTCAATATGTTCAGTAACTCTCCCTTCAACATGGGTGTCATGTCCGCAATATTTACTTCTTTGATTTTTGTGAGTGATACTGTAGATTACCTAATTTAGAGCAAAGGAAAAAAAAGAAAAAAAATCAAAGGCAGCAATTGTAAGTAATTCTTCAAAATTGAAGAAAGGGGAAAAAATAAATAAAATCAAAGAACCATTAATTTGTATCAAAGCAGAGTAGTAGAATCTGTTAGAATCATGATGTTACAAATGTTTCTCTTACTGCACATAAGCAATGAGTACCATTTGTATGTCACATGCTGAGCCTCCCACATCTGGTGCTAAAAGATTAAACTATTTATACTAAAGCTGGTAAAACAAAGATCAGCAGTTCACACATCTGGGAAAACTGTATTAATAGTAATACATTAAGAGTAATAGTTTTTAAAAAAAAAAGCAAAAAATAAATAAATCTCAAGTTTGGGGCGGTGGAGTTAGTGCTTGAACAGAGCAGTGCTTCATAGAGAACTAGTCTTCTACTAACTATTGGTAGTGCTTATAGTGGCGATATTTCTTAACTTTTTCCTGTGGCAAATATGTGGTGACACTTGAAGACCGCAAAAATATAGGGAAGCATTCCCAGCCACCTCGGGAGACCAGCACTGCACGTGACCTGGACAGCACTCCCAACCTACGGCAGCACAATCAGGTGGCGCGGCGACTGCCTCATCCGTTTATCCCGGGCACATAAGAGTCTAGATCAGGGGTCCTCAAACTCCGGCCCCCCAGATGTTGCTGAACTACAACTCTCATGATTCTTTGAATTACATAGATAGCCAGTGAATCATGGGAGTTGTAGTTCAGCAACATCTGGGGGGCTGGAGTTTGAGGACCCCTGGTCTAGATAATGCAACCTCACCATTTCAAGAAGGTGCCAGTGAAGCAACCAGCTTCAGTTTCCTCAGAGGCCAGCGCTTCAGATGACCCTAATGGCAATTCCATTCCAGCGGAAGCCAGCACAAGTTCCCAGACAGAAGAAGACCATCTACCAGCAAGGCAGGTATAAAAAGACCTGCTGTTAAAGGCACTGTTCTCAACTAACATATCAGTGGTAAAAGAGGATATGGCGGCACTGGCAGTCCGAATACAGGCAGCTGAGGAGCATGTTGGCCAAAACTATGCAAATGCATGAAGTTTTCCACCATTGTCTGAATCTGCAGATTAGAAGTGCTCCTGAGATCATGTCCACAGGAGAGATACGTCAGTTGCTCAGGAGAATTGAGCTTCCTGGTAACCCCCTTCTAGGGCTAAATGCATCCAAGTGGATTCTCACGTTCTAGTGACGAGACCCACTAGAGCACCAGCTGACGTTACCAGGCACCGCACGGAGGTGGACAAAACTGCAATAATGGCTATGGATAGAGACTCTCCAACCTATACTTTTGAAGCACATGTCCTTGTGTTTTATGGGGATTTTTCCATTTCCACTATTATTTGGCGACACTCCCTGAGACCCATTAGCAATCTCCTGAGGGACAATGCTATACCATATCAGTTAGGCCCTGTACAACAGCTAAGTGTTCAACATAATGGTAAGTGCAGCTCACCGACCCTCCAGGTGCCAGCACCTTCATTCCAGTTTTGGAACTTTCTCTAGTACTCTACAAGTCACAATGGTATTGTCAGGTCGTTCTATTCTGCAGGCGAACAACCAGATACCACCTTGACAGAGCCGTCACCTGAGTTTGATATTCACTGTATTTTTTGCCATCATGTATCTGTTTCATTTGTTGAGCCTTTTATATTAATGAGTGCATGTATATAGTTTATTTTTGTTGAGCAGTCTAGATATCGCTTTTCTGAGACCTGAGACAGTCACTCTTACAGGAGAACACAATCTAATTTTTTACAATGTAAACCTCCCAGACATGCAATACAGGTTACACTATTTTACTACATTCAGTATTGCATCTGCCAGGGGGAAAATGCATTAAAAAATAAATAAAAAAAATTGAGTAAAAATTCATGCAAACAGGAACTGAAGAGGTTACTCCAAGCACCATAACCACTTCAGTAGTTTTAGGTTATGGTGCCAGGAGTCTATATGTGCAGTGTTTCAATATGAAATGCTGTGCATATTGAGTTTAACCCCTTTGCTGCCGCAGGTGTAACTTCACCTCCAGCAGCATCATTGGAGTGTCATTAGGACTAGTTAATGTCAATCCTTTGAAAATTTCCATGCACAGAATGTCACTCACTGGCAGAGAGCAGTCAGTTGAAGCTCTGCAGAAGACAGATGTAAGCCACCAAAGCAGCAGGGACACAGGTAACAGGACAAACAGTTTTATTGGTTGCCCTATTAGAGGGAATGGGACCAGGTGCTACGGACATCAAAACCACTGAAGCAGGCTATAGTAGTTATGATGCCTGGAGTAATGGATACAAGAATTGGGGATCAAAATATGGTGGAGAGTAGTACAAAGAAAATTCCACAGATGAAAGAGGGCCAACTCAAAACAAAAATATGCAAAGCATGAGAGAAGGAACAACACGTACAGAGGGAAAAATGAGAACAAAGTAATATATTGATCTAATACTTTAAGTACATGATGGTGCTAAAATGTGTGATGCTGTCCTGTTGCTAAGTTAAAATATTACATAGGCTTCTAAACATAGCCACATATATAAAAGCAAAATGTCTTTCAAACTGTCAGTAATAAAAAAAAATCATAATATTTATATATTGCCACAGTCAGCTGCACATGTTTTACATATAATAGATGTCTATTATTGATGAAGGCTGCAGTTAGCAGTCTGGATCATTGATACACATTTATGATGCTTTGCACTAAACTTTAAAAGTAACATTTAATGTTTGTACAGCAAAGGTTATCATTTAACAAGCCATTTAATTTACAGAAGGTAGTCTGTGTAGTATTAGATCCAGGCCTGGTAAATGTCCTTGTCCACGGTAATTCAATTTGGTTAATAAAAATATATTCCTTTTTTTAATTCTTTTTTTTAGTCATGTAACCATGTTTGGCTTTCCCAATATCCGTGTTGTCTGATGTTGTCCTTGTATTTGCAGTTATGGAGTGTAGTCACAATGATTCCTGGTTCCTGGATAACTCAATAGATTGGAAAGATTTTTGTTGACTAATATGGAAAAACAAAATCGACACATTCAGTGGTGTCAAAAGGGTTATTTGCAATTTTATAGGTTAACTTTATGTGTCAGAACACTCAGACTTACTGTACAGCAGGAGTACACAGAAAACAAGGATGTAAACTCCCCTATCATTCCAGTACAGGGGTTGTCTTAAGTTATGGGAAATGCTCAGATTTTCTCAAACAACACAATAAGCAGCCAAGGTCCATTTAAAATAACCCTATAAACTTGAAGCAAGCTCCAGAAGGCTATTAACAGAGCAGGATGTAAGAAATTCCAAATTGAACAGATTATGCAATAAAGCAGGGGTGGGGAACCTTTTATCTGCCAAGGGCCATTTGGATATTTAAAACATCATTCGCGGGCCATACAAAATAATGAACTTAAAAATTAGCCTGCTGCATTTGGTCAAACATTTAATTAACTCACTCCTAATGTGATGGCTTCTCTTTGGTGTGATGTTAGCTGGTATTAATGATGTTGCTACTCATAGTGTGTGTGTGTGAGAGGGGTGCAGTGTGTTTGTGGGATTCTGTGCGTGAGGGGGTGTAGTGTGTGTGAATGATGATGTTTTTGTGAGGGGTCCAGAGTACGTGTGAGGGATGCAAAGTGTGTGTGTGAGGGGGTGCAGTGTGTTCTGTGTGCATGGAGTGCAGTGTGTTTGTGTGAGGGTTTCTGTATGTGTTAGCGGTGCTGCATGTGTGAGTATTTTTTTTACTTAAAAAGAGGGGGGGAAAAACTTTATGCACTTCCCCCCTCCTTACCTCTGGCCTGGAAGGCGGGGACATTACACTGCAAGCCATGGTGGTCCAGTGGTTTCACGTGCACTTTAGTCTGCAGCCTAACTTTACTCTTTTCTTCCCGCGAGCACAGCGTGGTAGGACCGTTGCCATGGTAACCTGCAGCAACGCGCAGACTTGTCTGCTCGGTGGAGGATCACAGCTTCTGTGTCCTCCTCCTATCCAGCAGGCTCCCAGGTCCTAGATCCCTCCAGCTCCATTAACAAACTGCCAGGGGGCCGGTGAGGGAGATCTTTGACCTCCCCACCGGCCCTAAAAAGGCAGACCGCAGGGCTGGCTCTCCACGGGTCGGACCAAATGATTTTGCGTGCCTTATACAGCCAGCGGGTTTCTAGGTTCTGTTTCAGGAAGTGTTTAGGATTAGCAAGAGAACAAGTCTACACCATCTTGTAATGAGTCTCACCTTCATCTCTAATTAGGAATGAGAGCAGGATTCCCAAAGAAGGGCTGTGACTGAGAGTTTATTGCTGCTCACAATGAAGTGGCGATGGAACAGTTTAGGAGGAGCTGAGTATCACTAAAAAAGCTCTAAGAGACTTAAAAGGTTAGTAAAAACTGTTTATTTAAAGTTAAAAATTAAAAACAGGCTCACTATAACTCAGAATGAGTAAAATATGTCTTTTTCAGGGTGAATATGTCTATTCTCCAAAAAGCATCCATGCATCTCCCATGGAAATCAAAGGCTTAAAATCCTTTAAACGCTTACCCGATTCCTGCTCCGTCTCCTCCGACATCATCATGAAGTGTAACATAATGCGCATGCATGGCGCATTAGAGCCTTTCCCATAGGAATGCATTTACTCAATCATTTCCTATGGGGATTTTCAAGACACATGATATTAAACTCAGTGAAACAGCATGAAGTGCCTCTAGTTGCGGTCAGGTAGACAGCCATGAGAGGCAGTTTTAAACCTGCAACAAACACTGCAGATTCTATAAAACCACGGGGACACTGCACCCAGACCACTTCAATGAGATAAAGTCTATAGGGTCCCTTTAAAAACCTTACTGGGAATTTTAAATATATTATATTTGTAAAAACTGTGCTGTATATGTACTATAT